GTGTTGAGACTGTGAGATCCACTGACATCAATTCTGTATTCATTTATTTAAAATATTTTCATAGGTCAGCAATTAATATACATTCATAGTATAACATGTGAAAAATAGAGGAGTATCACTGACTCCACAGTCTTCACTGAATATTGACTGTGCACTTTGAAGTCTACTATGTGATGAAAAGGCATTGCAAGGCAAACAGGCCCTTACTTCATGAACATATATGTGGGAGGACATGTTTTGTTATGTTTTGTTTTAGTGCAAAAGCAAATATTTAAGAAACACACAAATGAATAAGGAAGACACACATAGTTTTTTCTTTAAAAATTTTTTATTGGATTCTAGCTGATTTACAATGTGTGATAGTTTCAGGTGTACAGCAGAGTGATTCAGTTATACACATACTTGTATCTACTCTGTTTTTAGACTCTTTCCCCATATAGGCCATTATAGAGTATTGAATAGAGTTCCCTGTGCTACACAGCACATTCTTATTAGTTATCTCTTTTATATACAGTAATGAGTATATGTCAGTGCTAATCTCCCAGTGTATCCCTGCCCTCCCCATCACCTGTTGGTTTTCAGTTGCTCAGTCATGTCCGACTCTTTGCAACCCCATGGACTGCAGCACACCAGGTTTCCCTGTCCATCACCATCTCCCAGAGCTTGCTCAAACTCATGTCCATTGAGTTGGTGATGCCATCCAACCATCTCATCCTCTGTCATCCCCTTCTCCTCCTGCCGTCAATCTTTCCCAGCATCAGTGTCCACTATAATATTGTAAAGTAATTAGCCTCCAACTAATATATATGTATATATATATATATATATATATATATATATATAATATCAGGGTCTTTTCAAATGAGTCAGTTCTTTGCCTCAGTTGGCCAAAATATTGGAGCTTCAGCTTGAGCATCAGTCCTTCCAATGAATATTAAGACTTGATTTTCTTTAGGACAGACTGGTTTTGATCTCCTTGTAGTCCAAGGGAATCTCAGGAGTCTTCCCCAGCACCACTATTCAAAAGCATCAATTCTTCGATGCTCAGCCTTCTTTATAGTCCAACTCTCATAGTATACATGACTACTGGAAAAGTAATAGCTTTAAATATAGGGATCTTTGTCGGCAATGTAATGTCTCTGCTTTTTAATTTGCTGTCTAGGTGGTAACCATAAATTTATTTACTACATTGTCAGGGAGTGTTTGACGGGAGGATTCCTACGTGCTGTCTCTCATGAGTCTTTTGTCCCTCTTCAAGCGGAACAGCACGCTGCTCCCAGGGACTGAGGTCATTGTGTGAGGCAGGCTTGGGTCTCCTTTAGTAAACATTCTCTTTAGGACAAAACTGCTTAGTCTCGTTCCCCTTTCTTGAGATATGAATTGTGTCCTGACCTTGTGACTAACATTGCCCCTTGTTCCCTTGGTAACGGTTGCTGTATGTTTGGTTTTCTGATCTCTATCATTCCCAAAAGAAGTTTCTTGTACCACAGCCTATATATACTCATAGAAAAATCATTAAAGCACCTTTGCTCCATCAGAGCTTAGGTCCCCGGGTCTTTTTTTGTCTCTCTCTCTCTCTCTCTCTCTCTCTTTCACTTTCTTATCGTCGACTCCATACCACCAGGTCCCGGTCCATTAAAGGACCCCAACACTACATCTATTGACTCTACTTCTCTATCATAAAATGTCATGTAGATTGGAAAGAGAAACAAAACTGTTTATTTGGGAAATGACATAACTGTCTGCACAGAAAATTCCAAAGTATCTCCAAAATCCTCCTAAAACTAATCAGTAAGTGGAGTACCTGGACTGCAAGGATATCCAACCAGTCAATCCTAAAGGAAATCAATCCTGAATATTCATTGGAAGGACTGAGGCTGAAGCTGAAAGTCCAATACTTTGGCCACTTGATGCGAAGAACTGACTCATTGGAAAAGACCCTGATGCTGGGAAAGATTGAAGGCAGGTGGAGAAGGGGATGACAGAAGAAATGAGATGGTTGGATAGCATCACTGACTCGATGGACTTGAGTTTGAGCAAGTCTCGTGAGTTGGTGATGGACAGGGAAGCCTGGCGTGCTGTAGTCCATGGGGTCGCAAAGAGTCGGACACAACTGAGTGACTGAACTGAACTGAACTGAAACATGGTTTCAGATAGAACAGAATATTATAATCAGTTATATCTCTATATAAATTATTAGAAATTGAGAAAAACAAAAAGTGTCATTTATAATGGACTTCCTTGGTGGCTCAGACGATAAAGAGCCTGCCTACAATATAGGAGACCCGGGTTCAATCCCTGGGTTGGGAAGATCTCCTGGAGTAGGAAATGGCAACCCATTCCAGTATTCTTGCCTGGAAAATCTCATGGATGGAGGAACCTGGTAGGCTACAATCCATGGGGTCAAAAACTTTAAGTTGATAGTATAAATATACCAAATATTCGCACCATTTGTATGCTGAAAATTATAAAATACTAGTGAGAAAGTTTGAAAAAAACAAATTGATAAATAAACTATAGTCCTAAACTGGAAGTCTAAACATTATGATGATTCCTTTTCTGCCTTAATTGCTCTATAAATTTAAGTTAGTCAAAATCAGAAACACACAACCTGGTTCTCTGTGACAACCTAGAGGGGCTAGATGGAGTGGGAGGGAGCTTCGTGTGGAAGGGGACACATGTATACTTATGGCTGACTTACATTGTTGTATAACAGAATCCAGCACAACATTGTAAAGCAATTTTCCTCCAATTAAAAAAAAAGTTAAAAATTAAGAAACATATTAAGCTTTTATTTTGCAGAAAGTTACATATTAATTTTAATTTTTTTAATGAATTTTATTTTTTAAAACAATATACATTTACAAAAAAAGTTTGAAGATAGTATAGAATTCCATATATTCTGAAATCAGTTCCTCTTTAATTTATATTAGCATTGCACTTTTGCTGTAATTAATAAACCAACATCAATGTATTTTTAATGACTAAAATCCATAGTTTATTCATGCTTCCATAATTTTTTTTACCTATGTCTTTTTTCTATTCCAGGATCCCATCCAGGTTACCACATGACATTTAGATGTCATGTCTCTTTAGGCTTCCCTTGGCTATTACAGACTTTCCTTGTGTTTGATGATCTTGATAGTTTTGGAAAGTACTAGGTAGGTATATTTTAGAATATCCTTCATTAAGATATGTCTGACATTTTTCTCATGAGGAGATTGGAGTTGTAAATTTGGGGAGGATGACAGAGTGCAAATTTTATTACATCACATCAAGAGAGCAAACTGTGAGCATGACATCACTGTTGATGTTGCCTTTGCTCACTGAGGTGGTGTTTGGCAGGTTTTCCACTCTAAGGTTACTCTTATTTTCCCTCTTCCATATGTCTCTGTAATAATTTCTTTGGAAGGAAATTATTATTTGCAGTAAGTACTTAAGGAGTAAGGAGTCCTATCACTTTTAGGCAAGAGCATCTACATCATTTATTTAGAATTTTTCTGCACAGGAGATTGTTTCATCTCCCTCATTTGTTTAAGTATTCAATCATTTTATACTACTATGGACTCATGGATATTTTATATTGGGGTTATAATTAATACTATTTCATTTTTGCAATTTTTGCTGCATAAATTTTTCCAACTTTGGCCATTGGGAATTCCTTTACCTAGTTGACATACCCCTACAGTTTTAAGCACTTCTCCATTTTCTAGAACTACAAAAAATCTCCAGGCGCTTCTTATGTATTTCCTAACCCTATTTTAGAATCAGCCATTTCTTTCAAGTAGCTAAGATTTTATTTTCTAAGTAATGGAATTATAATTTAAAAAATGGCCACTAAGTAGTTTTTTTCTTCTTTGCAAAAAAAAAGTTAAAACAATTTTGAAAAAGACAGGGCAGGAGAACTCACATCACTTCACAACTTCCTATAAATTCACAATAATCAAGTTATTGGTGAAAGATGGCAGATATTCAGATCAATGAAATAGTATAGAGAGTTTAGAAATAGATACAAGTATAAGTGGCAAATTGATTTTTGACAAAAGTGCCATGATAATTCAACAGAAGAGAACAATTTTCAAAAAATGGGCTGAAATAACTAGACATCTTTTTGCAAAACACTTTTAAAAAGAATTCAATCCATACTTTGCACTATATACAAAAATTAATGCAATGAAATATAGAATTAAATGTAAACTTAGAGCTTCTAGTAGAAGGCATAGGAGAAATTTTTTCAAGTTCATGTTAATTAAGATTTCTTAATTAAAAACTTCTTAAATATAAAAACATGTTTAAAAATTATTTACTGCATTTCTTGAAGTTAAACTCTGCTCATCTAAATTTCTAAAAAGAATATTAAGAGAATACAAGGTATACTGGAGGGCAGTATTTATAAAACACATGTTTGAAAAAATATTAACATCCAAAATATATAAAGAGAGAACTCTCAGAGCTCAATAATAAGAAAATGAACAACCAATTAAAAATAGGCAAAATATTTAATCAATCTTTACCATAGGAGATCATATGAAAGGATGGTGCACATCATTTATTCATTAGAGATATACAAATATACCTTTATTATACCACACCTTTATTAAGAATAGATTAAAATTTTTTCAATATTAAAGTTAGTAAAACACTAGCAAATGGAATTTTCATACATTGCTAATAGAATGCAAAATAGTACAGCCACTTTGCAATATGGAATTATACCCAGAAGTCTGGACTTGCCAGAGCATTCAAGCTATTAGTTGTGGTATAGGTCACAAACACAGATATATTTATTTCTTTCTGTTACTATGCTGTCTTTCTGCTAAAAAGTAAGGAATCAAACAAATGCATATACAATTGACATAGAACAATGACATCACTTATTCCTGGCATTAAATTCCGGGTAAAATGAACATGACAGTGACAACAGTTTGCAAGATTACTTACTAAATCTGTGTGAGTTGCAGAAATTGACTACACAGTCCTAAGGTTCATGAGAAGCACTGCTACTTTCTCACTCTACCAACCTGTGCTCATAACCAGTGTGATCTGAGATCTACATTTGAAAGAGGCAGAAGTGGAGGGTCCACAATGTATCTCTATCAAGCTAGAATACAGGTGCAGCCCATAACAAAGCATTCTGAAATGAGAGATATACAGACTGGACTTCCAAGGGTCTGAGTTTTTATAAGGAAAAGTTGTTGTATGTGTCTTTTGTTGCTGTTTCATTAGGTAGCAAGACAAGCTATCTACTTCTCACAAATGAAGTGCATGAATCTGGAACAGTCAGAAGCAGACATCTTCATTGCTGTAATACTTGCACAGTGTCCTCTGTCTGACTCTTTCCAATCACTTAACATAAAATAAAAGCATATAAATAATGTAAAATAGACATTCACTAATGCAAACATAAGAAATATTGGTTCAAATTTAAGGTATATATATATAGTTTTCTTTCCTTACAAGAAATTATCCCTTGGTGCCCTAAGTGTTAGTCACTCGGTCATGCCCAACTCTTTGCGACCCCATGGATTGCAGCCTGCCAGGCTCCTCTGTCCATGAGATTTTCCAGGCAAGGATACTGGAGTGTGTTGCCATTTCCTTCTCCAGGGGATCTTCCCAATCCAGGGATCAAACCTGGGTTTCCTACACTGCAGGCAGATTCTTTACCAACTTAGCTACAAGCCTTTCCTAAAGCATACTTTTGAGGATTATAGCAGTCAAGCTGAAAAGCCTCCGTCTCTATATATACTCATTTTCTGAACTTAAATTCTTTGTATGTGTGTGTCTATGTACATGCAATGCTATTGTGTGTGCTCAGTCGCTAAGTCATGTCCGATTCTTTACAACCCCATGGGAAGTATCCTGCCAGCCTCCTCTGTTCATGGGATTTCCCAGGCAAGAATATTGCAGTGGGTTGCCATTCTGCAGGGGATCTTCCTAACCCAGGGATCAAACCTGTGTCTCCTGCATTACCAGTGGATTCTTTACCACTGAATCACCTGTGTATGCCCATATATGTATGCATATTTGTCTATATATTGAAAGTGTGCATTTCCCTAAATACTTTTCTAAATGTAAACTAGAATATGGAACATATTATTTACTATCTATTCTAGAGACTTACAATTTGAGAAAAGGCCTTGACTTATCTTCCCACATCCATTGATTTCCGATTCCTTTACGAGATAATCCAATCCAATAGAAATAGGATAGTTGGCTCTGAATGAAGTTCTGCAATAAAAAGAGATATATTCTATTAGGAAAAAAGTATTTTCAAAATTCTGTAATGAAATAATAATCTTTTTAATATTTTTATTATTTTGAGTAACAAAAAGTATAAAGATCAACTTCATCCTGATTCTATTCAAATGATAAAATAATTGAATCTTAGTTATATTTGTTAAATATAGTGGCATAAATGAGACATAAAATAACACTCTCTTAGCTTACCTATCTTTTTTTTTTAAGATTTTTTGGATGTGGGTCATTTTTTTAAAGCTTTTTTTGAATGTGTTGCAAAATTGCTTCTGTCTTATGCTTTGGATTTTTAGCCAAGAGGCATTTGGGCTCTAAGCTCCCTGACCAGGGATCACGTCCATACCTCGTGTGTTGGAAGGCAAAGTCTTAACCATTGGACCACTAGGGACGTCCTGTACCTATCTTATTTAATTCTCAGACTAAAATATCTTAATTTACTTTCAAAACTGACACTTGTAGCTCAAGAACAAAATTGCTTTGTATTTTGAGGTCTAGGTGTGATAGATGTGAGGTTTTTACCAATGTCACTTAAATTTTTGTTTCACAATTACTGTGCTTATTTTTTGTGAAGTGAGCATCTTGAAGAAGTGGTCCTTATTCTACCAGATGAGATGTTTACACAGGTATCTGAAAATTAGTTGATAAGCACAAATATAACTGAAGTTCATCTTGTAACTTAATTTTTACATGTATGCATATATATTCATGCTTCCTTGGTGGCTCAGGGCTAAAGGACCTGCCTGCTAATGAAGGAGATGAGGGTTTGATCCCTGGTTCTGGAAGATTCCTTGGAGAAGGAAATGGCCACCCACACAAGTACTCTTGCCTGGGAAATCCCAAGGATAGAGGAGACTGGCAGGGTTCACAAAGCAGTCAACATGACTTAGCAACTAAACAACAACAAGCAACAACAATGCACATATATTACCTCATGTGATCTTCCTAAAACATGTTAGAAAGAAAATATAACCAGTTTTATTATAAGCAAAGTAATGTGTGAAAGGGAACTAAAGAGAGAGTTTATGACTATAAATTTCATATTTCCCTATTCTGCTTTAATTTTTACCCTTAGTTTGTTTTTAATTTCCTTTGTTTCTTTTACCATAGAGAATATGGCAAAAACTTAGTCTCTCTACCCAGAAAAAAATTACATATATATCATCTATTTATAAGATTTGACATTCAGTTTCATGGTTTCCATAGATGCTGTTATTTTTGATGAAGATATCCTACATGAAAGATTAGGGCTTCTAGACTCTAAAGCTAATTTTTGAGCTCACCAGTCTCCTCTGTCCATGGAATCCTCCAGGCAAGAATGCTGGAGAGGAAAAAAAAAAAGAATACTGGAGTGGGTTGCCATTCCCTTCTCCAGGGGATCTTGCCGACCCAGGGATCAAACGCACATCTTCTGCATTGCAGGCAGATTATTTATTGTCTGAGTCACCAGGGAAACCCCTTGGAATAAAAAGGAGGTTACTTCGGATCTGCAAATGTCTTCTTTTCGGGTTTAGATTTGCTTTGCTTTCTTGATGGTTTTCAAGTTCATATTTTTATAGCTATTTATGAGTTGTTAAAAGCCAAGGATATGGGTAACTGTACTATTATAAATAATTGAATGAATCTTAGTATCTATTTATCTGTGAGAGAATATGAAAAGATCCTCCTTAACTTTGAATGTAAGTATATATATTTCTTGAAAGAATAATAGTGAATTATTTCTCTATTCAAATCAAGGATATTGATATGGATTATGAAATATTTAGTTCAATTTTCTTTGAAGTTCAGTTCAGTTCAGTCGCTCAGTCATGTCCAACTCTTTGCGACCCCATGAATCGCAGACTGCCAGGCCTCCCTGTCCATCACCAACTCCTGGAGTTTACTCAAACCCGTGTCCATCGAGCCGGTGATGCCATTCAGCCATCTCATCCTGTGTCCTCCCCTTCTCCTCCTGCCCCCAATCCCTCCCAGCATCAGGGTCTTTTACAATGAGCCAATTCTTCGCATGAGGTGGCCAAAGTATTGGAGTTTCAGCTTCAGCATCAGCCCTTCCAATAAACACCCAGGACTGATCTCCTTTAGGATGGACTGGCTGGATCTCCTTGCAGTCCAAGGGACTCTCAAGAGTCTTCTCCAACACCACAGTTCAAAAGCATCAACTCTTCAGCACTCAGCTTTCTTCACAGTCCAAATCTCACACCCATACATGACCACTGGAAAAACCATAGCCTTAGTATGAGTCAAAATTTAATATGAGTTGGAATTAATTGATCTTCAATTTAAAATTCATACTGAGTTCTTCCTTTTACCCTAAACTCAGTGGTATTGTTGTATTTCTTGATTTTTTTGAAGGTAAAATGACATTTTTTTCAGAAAGAAGCTACATTTCCATGAAATTGTCAGTATGAAAATACAATTATCTCAGATAAAATGATATATTTTAAGTATAATTTTTTTTCCAAATTGTTTCATGTTCCCCTTTACATTTGCTCTACTGGAAAAGTTCTAACTGTGGATGAATTGGATGAATTAAATGAAATTTTAATTTCATTTCTACTTATATTTCTGACCTTAAGATGAGAACCCTCTAGATCTGAATCAACTTACAACTGTAAACTGTGGACACTCAAATATTATCAAGCATTAAGATTTAGCTAACAGGACTTTCCCAGTGATCAAGTTGTTAAGAATCTGTCTGCCAATGCAGGGGACACAGCTTGGATCCCCAGTCCAGTAAGATTCCACATGCAGCAGATAACTAAACCTATGCACTACAACTGCTGAGCCCAAGCTTTAGAGCCCATATTCCCAACAAGGGAAGTCACCTCAATAAGAAGCCCTGTCACCGCAGCTAGAGAAAGCCCAAGGGTAGCAAGGAAGACCCAGCACAGCTTTAAAAAAAATAATAGATTTAGGCAACAACTAGTGGCTAGATGGCCAGATGAATACAGGGTGAGATGGAAAACAGAAATACATCACCATTTCTTCCTTATCTTCTATCTTAAGAAGTGTGGAGTCCATTTCCTTGCAGACTTTTTTACTTTCTTCAAAGTTCTTCAATTCATCCGAAAAATAGTAACATTTCTGTCCACAACAGGACCATTTACTTTTACATTCCTTTCCTTGAAAACAAAAGAGTTTTGTGTCTGGAGACCATTCAGTGTGCATATTGAAAGGAATGCTCTGGAACTTAGCTACTAAGGAATTCTTTCTAGTCCTTGTAAAAACATTGGTTTCATGAGATGGATGGACTTCATTTCTAAGTTCCTGGCCTTAGGGAGATGACTTAACATCCCTTCAAATCTATGCATAATACTATTAAAATTCTCTAGGAAATATATCTTAGAAAATTGATGTTTTTTCTCACAATCTCTACAGATAGAAGTTCACAAGGGAAAACAACTTCTTTGTATTCTCTGAAAGAAAGAAAATGAAAATCGCTTAGTCATGTCTGACTCTTTGTGACCTTGTGAACTATACAGTCCATGGAATTCTCCAGTTCAGAATACTGGAGTGGATAGCCTTTCCCTTCTCCAGACCATCTCCTTAACCCAGGGATAGAATCCAGGTCTCCCGCATTGCAGGCAGATTCTTCACCAGCTGAGCCACAAAGGAAGCATTCTCTAGACTAAGTAAATTCTATAGGTACAGCGCTGATCTTAACTTAGCATTGATACATTGTACCTGTTTATGTATATCAGGTACATAAACCTAGTACCTGATTTACATATCCACAAGAGATCATATAATAATGATTAGAGAATGTGCTGAAGGAGAGGTAGAACTTTTTGGTAGAAAAAGTATTATTTTGTGAAACAGTGATTTAAAAGAATGTATCATGTATACAGAAGAATCTAACCACTGGGAAAGACTGAGTTTTTTTTTTTTTTTTTCCCCCAATTAAATGAAATGGAAGTTGGACTCCACAATTGGCTGATTCTAAAATAAAATCCAATTTGAGCAGGTTATCACGTGATTGAGAGAAGCAGAGAAGAAACTTGTCTGTCTCAGTCTTTATGTCTACATACCTGTGTTAAGTGGTTTCTCTTTGAGAGTCATGGTTTTAGATGTGGAATTTTCTTGTGTTCCATTGTCCAGTGGAGGCTCTGGTAATCGACCCTGGAAAACTTTACTGTACATCATTAGCTCTAGGAAAGCATAACATGGGGCAGACTAATAGGCATAATTTAAATTTTAATATGTCAGTTAATGTTCAGGAGTTTTATTCCTGTTCTTTTTAGAGAGATAACACCATATAGGAAGATAAAAAATTACATCATAAAAAAACCTTTGGGAATGCTAAGGTATTTGGATTTTTAAGGTAAAGCTTGTGATCTCAACACTAGCAATGGCTAATCTGAAAATAACATTAAGAAAAATGTTCCATTTATAATAGCATCAAAAATAATAAAATATTCAGGAATACATTTAACAAACATGTGTAAAACATGTACTTTAAAAAGAAAATACATTAAAACTTAAAGACCTAAATAAATGGAAAGATACCTCATATTCACCTTACATCACATATGAAAATTAACTCAAAATGGATCAAACACACACATGAAGAAGTTAAAATTATGACATTAGATAACATAGGTGAACTTTGTGATCCTGGATTAGGCAATGGTTTCTTAAATATAATATCAAGAACACAAGTGATCAAAGTAAGAGTATACTGGGCTTCATCAAAATTAAAACTTTTACACATGAAAAGTTACTATGAGAGTGAAAAGTAATACAAATAATGGGAAAAATATTTACAAATTATATATCTGATAAAAGATTAATATATAGATTAATTATATCCATACAGTGGATTATTTTTTGGCAATTAGAGGGAATACTATGTTGATATATCCTATCATGAATGACCCTTGGAAGCATCATATTAAGTGAAAGAAACCAGTCACAGAAGACCATGTATTATATGATTCCACGTTTAAGAAATGTCCAGAATAGGAAAATCTGGAGAGACATAAAATAGGTTATTGGTTGCTTTAGGCTAGCAAATTTTGAGAGAAATGGGAAGCAATAGCTAATGAGTGTGAGATTTCTTTCTGGAGTAAAGAAAATGCTCTAATATTGACAAAAGTTAGGCTTCCCTGGTGGCTCAGATGGTAAAGAATTTGCCTGCAATGCAGAATACCTGGGTTTGATCCCTGCGTCTGGAAAATCCCCTGGAGAAGGAAATGGCAACCCTCTCCAGTATTTTTGTCCAGGAAGTCCCATGGACAGAAGAGCCTGGTTGCCCACAGCTCATGGGGGTCACAAAGCATTAGACACAACTGAATGGTGAACAGTTTGATTCATGGTTGTGCACCTCTGAATATACTTGAAGTCACTGAATTTTACTCAGTAAAAGTGGGAATATATGGTCGGAGAATTGTATGTTAATAGAAGTAATATACATCTGTTATATACATGATTATATGTATACACACAGGCATACAATGCAAAGAGTTTGGTTTATCAGTAAACGCTGCAGAGGATGTGGAGAAAAGGGAACCCTCTTGCACTATTGGCAGGAATGTAGATTGATACAGTCTCTGTGGAGAACAGTATGGAGAGTCCTTAAGAAAACTAGGACTAAAACTATCATATGAAACAGCAATCCCACTACTGGGCATACACCTTGAGAAAACCATAATTCAAAAAGACACATGTACCCCAATGTTCATTGCAGCACTATTTGTAATATTCAGGACAAGGAAGCAATGTAGATGTCCATTGACAGATGAGTGGATAAAGAAGTTGTGGTACATATAAACATAGAATACTACTTAGCCATAAAAAGGGAAGAATTTGAGTCAATGAAACTGAGGTGGACAAACATAGAGCCTGTTACGCAGAGTGAAGTAAGTCAGAAAGAGAAAAGCAAATATCACATATTAATGCATATATATGGAATCTTAAAAAAATGGTACTGATGAACCTATTTGCTGGGCAGGAATAGAGATGCAGAGGTAGAGAACGGACATGTGGACATGGAGGAGAAGCGGAGAGTTGGACTAATTGGGAGATAAGGACTGACAAATATACATTACCATGTATAAAACAGCTAGTGAGAACGTGTCATAGAGCATAGCAAGCTTAGCCTGGTGCTCTGTGATGACCTAGATGGGTGGGATGGAGGTCCAAGAGGGAGGGGATGTATCTATACATAGAGCTGATTCACTTCATTGTATAGCAGAACAAAAAACAACTTTGTAAAGCAATTTATACCCCAATAGAAAATAATAATAAAAGTCACAAAATGAGTTTTAGACAGAGAACTGACGTCAAGTCAGGGAATTAGAAAATACATCATGGATGATTTAGAAGTCATCCATGTCCTATGGGATGGGCCTTGAGGGATGTCTAAGATGTCCATAGGCAGAGGCAGGCTACATGAGGAAGGCTGTCCAGATGAAGAGAATAGCATAAACAAACGTGCTGTGGCAGAGAGACTTAGAGAAACTGTAGGGACCAGAAAATGATCTAAAGTTATCTGAAGCCAATTTGGACATAGGGAGGAAAGCTCAAAATCATTTGGTTGAAATTAAACTGTGATTCACAAAAGCAAATAGAAGTAGGGGGATTCTAACATAACTCAGTACAGGATGAGAGAGTTTCTTGGCATTTTGGTGACATGATCGTAGATATACTTGGAGAAGTTTATCTGGCAGTTGCAATAGGATTTTGAAAGTCTGTTGACTTTAGGAGGTGACTGTAATAGTATAGGAGAAAAAGCATTGTTGGGTTGTATTAGGTGTTTGTGAGAATAAACAATTTAAAAAAGTAAATTTGAACTGCAGAATGGAGATTACAGGAGGATTGGACCATTTATGAAAGGTCAGAGAGTACAGAGAAATTTATGTTCACAAAGTATGATCAGTTATCAATAAAATCTGAAATATAGTCTTTCCTGGAAGTGTCCTGAATATGATCCAGACTGTGTCAGTAAAGAAGACATTAGAAACTTGTGAGAAACTTGGTAATTGTCCATGTGATTACATTAGTGGTGATGGTGGAAAGGTTTCTTGGGTAACACTGGAGATCGTAGCTTTGGAACTACTAGCAAAAGAAGACTGGTAAAAATAGTAATTTCCAAGGAAAGAGACATTTGGTTCAGGGCACAGGGCTTGTTTAACTTACCCATAAATCCTAAGATTCCTGTGGTTAAAAGGAGAAGGAAACAGAAGATTCCGAGAATCACTACTGTGAAAAGCCAAGGAAATGGAACTGAAGACCCTGTCCAGAGGGGGAAAAAAAAAGAGGCTGAGGAGATCAGCAGAGGAAAGATTAAGTTACAGAGCAGGATTTAGAGGGAGATGTTCCATAAATTCAAGACCTTAACTCTTGAATGTCTTCAAACTTGAAATTATAAATTGAAAGGGAGAATGAGCAATTTGAAACATCAGTGAACTGAGAGTTATTCTGTTCTGCTAACATGTATCTCTTAGGAAAGTCACTTATTCTAACTTTATCAAAATAATCCTGTGATTCATCTCTATGATTTATGAATACAAAGTAAACATCAAAAATGGGTATCTGGTTTTTGAAATACAAACATACTTCTAAAACATATCTGTATAAGTCAATTTTATTGACCCATGTCAGAGTATATTTATAATTTTGTAAATGTTGTGTGCTTTCATGCATACAAAGCACATATATATATATAAATACCCATCATTTTCTCATTGGAACTTTGCTATAGTTTCAGCAGTAGAAGAAATTATAACTCCAACATGTATCAGATAATGTTAATCATGCATTGTTTCTTGAAACTTCATAGAACAAGTGGATAATGACATCAGGAGAATCACAATTGTTTCCAAACAAATTGAAAAGAATGAATTTTTCCACTTGATTGCTCAGGTACAAATTTATGTATATAGCACCCAAACTACATTAATTATCTGCAATATACTAAATATGGACATTTCATTTTCAATACTACTTTTTTGTTTAGGTTATAGGATATAGTTTAGGTAGCCTCATGAAACTGGGCAGGCTTAATAATTTGGTACCACGATAAACTGAGCAAGTGGAGGACATGTAAGCTAGGTCAGTTTCCCCCGTGGTCAGTGGTAAAGTATCCACCTGCCAAGCAGGAGACGCAGGTTTGATTCCTGGTTTGAGAAGGAAATGGCAGCCCACTCCAGTACTCTTGCCTGGGAAATCCCATGGACAGAGGAGCCTGGTAGGCTACAGTCCAAGGGGTCGCAAAAGAGTCTTACATGACTTAGTGACTAAACAACAACAATCTAGGCCTCTACATAAACTTTACCTTTTTCTTTATGTGATTCAGGTCTTTTTATCTTTGTCTGGTTGGACTGTGGAGTGACTGTTTTCACTTCTGTGTAAATTAGCTGCTCTTTTGTCTCTGGAGATTAAAAGAGAAATCTTTTAATACTCACACTATTTCTCAGAAAGCATGTAGGTTATAAATATGTTTGAATAGAGTTAACAAAGTTTTTTTTTCCAAATAAAGGAGATTTATGCAATTTTTTCTTCTTACTATGTAAAGTCCACTAGGTAAATCTTTTAAATGACAAAATCTTGAGAATGAGTTAGACTTAAGGTGTCATATGCTAAATTAAAATGAAATTCCTTATAAAAATTATTTACCAAGGGAAAGAATAATACATAATTCAGTAGGGATTGGGAAAAAAAAAAACACTCACTTTCTTTTCGTGTCGGCTTTTTGGAAGGAGTGTGTTTCACTGTTGCATATGTTGCATTTTTTCCACTCATCTCTAAAAAATTTTAATAACAATTCTAAGACACATAAATCTACAGTTTTGTTTTTTTTTAAACTAAGTTTTCAGGTTCTATCTGGGTTCTTTGTGTATTACTGACATCATGATTTCATGCCATTTAATTACTGATGCATGATTTTACTTTTGCAATTTTCTTTTAAGAAAGATTTTTATCTCAGATTATTTTATTTCCCATTCTTAAAATTATCAGTGAACATCTCTTTAGATATCATTGCACCTATTACCTGGAATTATCTAAATGTGGTATATAGTTCAACTTTAAAAGGGTAACAGTGCTATGATATATTAAATATTCATACTACACTTAAAAACTGTCTCTATCCAGAAAAATGCCAGTAGAATTTTTGAGTCATTTTGTATTGTAAAGATAGTGTAACATAATGTATTCTAAAATTTCTTTCCACAGTTCTCCTGATATTTTTCTATCTTTTTATCTTCATTCTTTTTTCATGATTAAAGGCAGTTCACTTCCCATTATCTCTGAAAAAACCTCTTCCAACAAGTTGTTAAAAATGAAAGTCCTAGAATTGTGATTCGAATTGGTTTATTTGTAATCAAGTAATCGTGTAGGGCGTGTTGCATTGTGTCTATAATATTTGAAGATATAGGTTAAAAGCAACTAATTTTCCTTGAAATAAATTAATATTCATACATAAGTACTTATATTAATATATTTATATGAAATTAATATTACTATTTGCAATTTTTGAAAAGTTAATTTACTTCAAATAGTTTAAATTTAATTTTGATAATAACAACAATGTTCTATATAATAGAATTCTGATAACAAGCAAATTAAAAATTCTTATGTTCACTAGTTTGCCAATGTGTCACCAAATAAAATATTTTTTATATATTTTAATTTCCTCAGAGAATTATGCTCCATTGTTATCTTTTACAATATGATTAAAATATATAGGCCTCTGTGTTCATAATATTCACTTATAGCATTTAAAATTTCCTAAAGATAATTTCTCATAAGACAACACAATTGCACAGAAATAGATTTATAATGCTTTTAAAAATTCTTTACCAGATTTGGAATATATGAGGAATATGGAAACTACATCACATATATAAGAAAATTCTGGATGTAGGTGTGAAATAGAGATACACACTGTTATACAGACAAGAACAATTGATCACTGATTAAATAATTATTTTATTATTCATATCCTGCCTTCATTGATGTGATCATTTGGTCTATCCACTCAGTTAATCCAAGAGATATATTGAAATATTGGCTAACAACACTATTGGTTGTATTCAATGGTAAACCATGAAAAAATATAAGGTAATTTACCTTGCAAAATAATTTTTAAATCTGAATAATTTAGCTATTTTTCCTACAAGATTAAATTTACTGAATTACTTTTTAAAATCTCTATTCTTTGTGCTCCATATATGCAATCAAGTAGCACTGGTTATAATGATATATACTGAGATAAACAGCTAAAGGTATAGTTGGTGATACCTGTGTTAGTTCGGTGATTTCTGCTGAAGCCTGGTCCAAAGAGAAAAGGCAAACCCCAGTGGGCGAATGGTACAGATGTGTGAGCTGGACTCAGGATGGCTCTTCTGTCTGACTTACTTCACTCAGTATGAGTTTCTAAGTCCAATCAGCTGTACTCCAATACAAAATAGAAAGGTTAAAAAAAAAAGATAGTTCTTCTGGGATCTAAATATGACTGGTTCTTGCTCCAAAGGAGCTTCAGTATTTGCCAGCTCCTTGTGAAGATGTGAGAAAGCAGCTCGTATTTGAGCTTAAGTCTTTACCATTTGCATTTTTTTAAATAGAGAAAGGTGGTATTTTAACAGGGCAGATGACTGAGAAAAATAATTTAAAGGGCCATACCCATTTTGCACAGAATGCAAACACTGCGTGTTTAAGAAAAAGGGGTGGGGGGAGGTCATCAACACCACTATGACCACCACCAAATGCTAGGATTCTAAATATAATCCCTATATCAAACACTAGTTTGGGCTTCAGACACTAGTTTGGGCTTTAAATAGCAACTGTACATAATGATATATTTAAATTCATCTTCACTAGTGTTAAACTACACTAGTGTTAACGCAGTGAAAATATATGAATGCTAATAGTCCATGTTTCTTCACATTGTTCTGAAGGGGATTTTAAATAATACATTTTAAGATGTTAGGATTTATTAGCTGGAGAGCCAGTCAACCCCTGGTTCTCTTAAAATATACCTAAATTCAACTGCTTTATTTTTTGAAACATTTTTTCCAGCACATTAATTTTTTATAGTTTGCTTTTCAGTTCATTCCAATACAAGTATACACTATAATCTCTAAATATACTCTCCACATACAAGCTTCAGGTTTTGAGATTTTTTATTTCATTCCCCTTCAGTCTGTAATTATAAAGAGTAGAAATATATTGGCTTACCCTCTTAAGTAAGGGTGTTATTCGTTCAGTTGTGTCCAACTCTTTGCAAATCCATGGACTACAGCCTGCCAGGCTCCTCTGTCCATGGAATTCTCCAGGCAAGAATACCAGATTGGGTTGCTATTCCCTTCTCCAGGGGATCTTCCCAACCCAGAGATCAATCCCTGGTCTCCTGCATTGCAGGCAGATTCTTTACTGTCTGATAAACCTTACCCTCTTAGTGGTAAAGAATCCACTTGACAATAAAGGAGACACAAGAGATGTGGGTTTGATCTTCCTTGAATCGAGAAGACCCCCTGGAGAAGGAAATGTCAACCACTCCAGTATTGTTGCCTGGAAAATTCCATGGACAGAGGAGCCTGGCGGGCTACAGTCTATGAGGTTACAATGAGTTGGATGCGACTGAGCACACACACACACACACACACACCCTCTTAGTAGTCTAAAGTAGCAGTTCCAATAGTGTAATGAATAACGATGGTAATGCAGTTTAAGTACATGAGTTTTAACTCAATAGAAAAAGACAGTTTTATCTGTTGTCACCATTCAATAATAATAAAAAGCACAATAAGAAATGTATTTCAATTGTGGATTTCATTCATATATATATATATATGTTTATATATATATAAACATTTGGGAGTGGTGCATTAGTAAGAGTTTTCCATTAAGTTCCAATATGGAGAAATGATGATAAAAGGAAAACTATTTTGATATCAAAACAATTTGTTACTAAATTTTCAAACAGAATGAGTGTAATTAAAAAGTAACTCTATGTAGGCTGTAAAAGAGGAATGTTATTTATGTTCTGGTTATATGTTCTTTGGGGCTTTGTAATAGTCCCTTCTTACTTTTGTCTTGTTCTCTTCAATTGCTACGTGTGTGTGTGTGTTAGTTGCTCAGTCCTGTCTGACTCTGCAACCCAATGAACTGTAGCTAGCCAGGCTCCTCAGTCCATGGGGTTTCCCAGGCAAGAATATTGGAGTGGGTTGCCATTTCCTACTCAACTGCAATAGACTTCATCTAAAACAACCATCTGGTAAGCTCAACACTCAACACCATGTAATTGTAATACTAGAACCTGAAAACATTTGTGTAGGCCTTAGCTTCTCACATTTGCAAGTCCATCAAATATTTCCACTTCTTCCTGATCACTGATTTCTCCACTTAACCAAAAAATCAAGTCTCTCACGCACTTCTTGATCATTTTTCTTTAAAATATTATACCTCTCTACAGAAATCTCTTTTTTAACCAATGATACAATGTGCCCATTATTTCTAAATGTCACTAATTCCTTAATCTTCCATATTTAACATAGTTCTCTTAGTCTTTACTATGATTGTGCTTCACCGTACAAATTGACTTCTCCAAATTTAAAAATTAATTTACCTAGATTACTGAATATTTTACTGCACTGTGCTAAGCACTTTTCAGATATTACTTCATTTAATCCTGAAAGGATTTGAAATTTATAAAAAATAAATATCAAGTCTTTTTCTTATAAGGTGATAATACAATCTAACAGGTACTGTTAACTTTTTGTTGGCTTTTCTTTTGTCTTAATTTCAAGAACACAATCATGTAGAAAAACACAAACACATTCACAACTGACAGAATATTGAACAGCCTGTTATTTCATATAAGCCTCAGTTTTTAGTTAGCACCAAAAAAAAAACAAGCTCAAAAAACTCAAAATTTCAAAATACGGAAAAGAGGATGATGCTAAAATAATGTTAGCATTGGAAAACTAGTATTTGCCATCTGCAAAGTATACTTCTTGAAAATAATCTTGGTGATATCACATTTTTCAAAATATTATATATTCTCTATTTCTCCTACTATAGAAATTAAAAATCGATATGTATTTTCTGACTTTCTTTATACACAGAGCACATTGGAAGTTTATTTTGCTTTCTGTCCTGGTATTTGAATAATATAAGCTAACAGGTAACAATTATTAGTATTCAGAAACATTTTTACCATGTAAGCGGGGTTCAAGCAAAACTTTAACAAGACAATAATTGCTCAAAAATATTTAAATATTAGTCAGAGCTCCTGTTTGAGTTTCCTGAGCCATACAGCAAATTTCTGTTGGCTATCTATTTTACATATGGTAATGCAAGTTTCCATGTTACTCTTTCCATATACCTCACCCTCTCCTCACCTCTCCCCATGTCCATAAGTCTATTCTTTATGTCTGTTTCTCCATTGCTGCCCTATAAATAAATTCTTCAGGGAAATGGGAAGGAAGTTCAAAGGGGAGGGGATATATGTAAACCTATGTCTGATTCATGTTGAGGTTTGAAACAAAACAGCAAAATTCTGTAAAGCAATTATCCTTCAATAAAAAAATAAGTAAAGAAATTAAAAAGCTAAAAAATATAAATATTAGTTAAAGAGAAACATTTTTGGGATTTCATCACTTCTTTCATTAATGTGCTTTTCAAATTTTTTCTTTTTGCTTTTTCATTTTTCTCAAAAAATTTTACTCTGTATTGGAGTAAGCTAACAGTATTGTGATAGTTTCAGGTAGCAGCAACGGGACTCAGCCATGAACATACATGTATCCATTCTCCCCCAAACTCCTCTCCCATCCAGGCTGCCACATGAGTTCCCTGTGCTATATAATAGATCCTTGTTAGTTATCCACTTTATATAGAGCAGTGTGTACATGTCCATCTGAAACTCCCTAGCTATCCTTTCCCCACATCATTCCTCCCCTTCGGGAAAACATAGTTCTCTAAGTCTGAGAATCTGTTTCTGCTTTGTAAATCAGTTCATTTGTATCATTTCTTTTTAGCTCCGGCATATAAGGAGTGTCATGATATTTCTCTTTCTCTGTCTGACTTACTTTACTCAGTATAACGACTGATCTTTAAGTTCATCCATGCTGCTGCATGGATAAGAAGGCCCGACGTTCTGCAGTCCATCAGGTTGTAAGGAGTCAGACACGACGGACTGATAGAACAGCACCATGTTGCTGCAAATGGCATTGTTTCAATTTAGGATACAGCACAACATTGAGTCATAATGTTTTCTTTGTTCTGTAAAACTTCCAGTCTTTTCTTGCGGCCAGGTTTCATGTCAAATGCCCCTTAAGCTTGTTCTTCTGATATTTTTCTCTTGGTTAGACTAGAGATATGGGATTTTCAGGAAAACTACTACAAAGGTGAACTAACCTAATCATCCGATTTTATCAGGGATACATTTATTTACAAGGTGTCAATGGTGATCTAAAGTCGCTTCAGTCGTCCAACTCTGTGAGACCCCATAGACGGCTGCCTACCAGGCTCCTCTGTCCATAGGATTCTCCAGGCAAGAATACTGGAGTGGGTTGCCATCTCCTGCTCCAATCTTAACCTATCACTTGGTTAATTTGTGTTTTTCAGGTTTTCCCACTGTGAAGTTGTCATTTTCTTCTTTCCAAGCTCTGTTCTATGGAAGAAAGCAAGTCACCAAAGCCAGTCCACCCTCAGTGGAGTTAAACTACACCTCCTTGGCAGGAGAATGTCTGAATTTTTTCTGTAAAGATTTGTCTTTTCTCTCCCATTTATTTACTTATTCAATCACTTGTTTTTAATAGCATGAGCTCACTGACGTTAATTTTATTCTTGGGTTATAATGCAATACTACTTTATTAATTTTGTTACAGAAATTGTTCCACTTGTGACTATTGGGAGATCTTTTAGTTAGCTCCTCTGTGCATTTGATCTGCCCTAATCTTTTTATTTTTGAGCACTTTCTACTTTCTGTCATTGTAAGATACCCTCACCTTATTATACATTTTCTCTGTTCCAACTTTAGAATCAGTCATTTCTCCAAAGAGCTCTAGTTCCTTTTACCGATGAATAACATTTAAAAACCAAGATCTGGGTACTGAGCATGTTCGTTGCTTTTGGGGTTTCACTGCTTCTAGACTTTTTAAGTGGACAGAGCTAGGCATTGTATTAATTCATGTATACACACATATGTGTATCTGTTTGTATATTTCATCATCTGTATATACATTGGGTGAAACAAGAGTTCAAACAGATGTTTCTGACTCTAATCTAGTGGCACAATATTTAGTCTAACCTTCCTTTTCTGCTTGATCTGTAAGTTGCTTTTCAGAAAGTGTGAAATCTGTCTCCTACCAACTTCCATCTGTACAAATAAATCAGTTTCAGAAGTGTTAACCCATCTACCATGAGAAACAAATTGATCAACTAGATCACTATGTACGTGCCTTTTGCTTCTAACCTTATCATTTCTGACCAAAATGCCATTTTCCAAAGCCACTTAAGTGAGCTCCTATTTTTCCCATCACTTTCAGTGAGGTTGTTTCGTATATTTGTATTATGGTTAGACTCATTTGTCATGATTTGCATCTCATTCTAGGAGAAGGCAATGGCAACCCACTCCAGTACTCTTGCCTGGAAAATCCCATGGATGGAGGAGCCTGGTAGGCTGCAGTCCATGGGGTCACGAAGAGTCAGACACGACCGAGCGACTTCACTCTCACTTTTCACTTTCATGCACTGGAGAAGGAAATGGCAACCCACGGCAGAGCTCTTGCCTGGAGAATCCCAGGGACGGCAGAGCCTGGTGGGCTGCCGTCTATGGGGTCACACAGAGTCGGACACGACTGACGTGACTTAGCAGCAGCAGCAGCAGCTGCATCTCATTCTGAGATCCCTTGATATGTTAACTGATGAATTTTTGTTTATTTTAGTCTGCATAAAAATTCACTCTTTGTGATATCCAGTTCTATGGACTTTGACAAATGCATAGAGTCATGTATCTGCTTCCCCAGGAAGCAGTTGCTTTACAGTGTTGTGTTAGTTTCTACTACACAGCAAAATGAATCAGCTATATTTATACATAAATCCCTCTTGTTTGGATTTCTTTCCCACTCACTCACCACAGAGCACCGAGCAGAGCTCTCTGTGCTATGCAGGTGGTTCTCATTAGTTATTTATTTTATACATAGTGTCAGTAGTTTAAATATGTCAATCCCAGTCTCCCGATTCCTCCCACTCCCCTTCCCTCCTTGATAATTATACATTTATTCTCTACATCTGTCTCTCTACTTTTGCTTTGCAAATAAGGTCATCTATACCTGAATCATTCTTTTCAATAACTACTTTCCCACTTTGAAAATTGCCCTGCTGTACATGGGCTCTAGTAACCATTCAATTGCAGTTAAATTACTTATCAACAGGGTTGAGAGTCTAGAAATTGTGACATCTTTTTTCCTTCTTAACCACTATAAAATTTTGCTTTCCTTCTCCAAGGGTATGTTTTTTATTAATTGACCTATAATCTGACCCATTTTTGTTCTTTATCTTATGGGCCTCTGCCAATATTTGCATGACAATTGATTAGTTTATAGAGCAGAATCCATTTTTCATGGCACAATCAAGTGGTAGGTGACAATCTAAGACACACTGGTTGATCATCAGAGAGTGTTAATAGATAACCATCTTAACTATATGAATATCTAAGAGAGCAATTTTGAAGCTATCTCCCCATTGTCTTTTTTGCAAAGTGGTGAAAATTGTAGGATTGTGTGGCACTAGTTTTCAAATAAACTCTAAAACGTCCTCAGTAATTTCTTTAAAAAGCTAGAATAATGGTAGCAATAAAAAAATATAAAATAAAAAATTGCATTGTATGTGTGTGTGTGTGTGTGTGTTAGTCACTCAGTCACGTCCGACTCTTGTGACCCCTTGGACTGTAGTCCACTAGGCTCCTCCGTCCATGGGATTCTCCAGGCAAGAATATTGGAGTAAGTTGTCATTCCCTTCTCCATTGTTCTGTATATTCAGGAGGAAAAGCACCATTACTCTGATAGATATTTATGGGTAATCCTTTACATAATTTCAGATAAACTATCCTCAGATATTGAAGCCTTTGAAACAAAACACTATGTGTATATATAGGAGAATTTCACTGTTTTCTAGGTTATTTCCTGGACTACCAATGGAAAATTATACCTCATTTTTTCTTAATAATGGCATTAAATTAAACCTAAAGAACAACTATCCTTTGGCTGCAATCAATATATAAAGTACTTTAATAATATGTGTTGTGAAATATATGAATTTGCTTTTTCTTCTTTCCCATATGCCTTTTTTCTTGAAAGCAATTTTTCTCTTTAGGAATTAGCTCCCAGAACTGGTTGATCATCAGAGAGTGTTAATAGATAACCATCTTAACTATATGAATATCTAAGAGAGCAATTTTGAAGCTATCTCCCCATTGTCTTTTTTGCAAAGTGGTGAAAATTGTAGGATTGTGTGGCACTAGTTTTCAAATAAACTCTAAAACGTCCTCAGTAATTTCTTTAAAAAGCTAGAATAATGGTAGCAATAAAAAAATATAAAATAAAAAATTGCATTGTATGTGTGTGTGTGTGTGTGTGTTAGTCACTCAGTCACGTCCGACTCTTGTGACCCCTTGGACTGTAGTCCACTAGGCTCCTCCGTCCATGGGATTCTCCAGGCAAGAATATTGGAGTAAGTTGTCATTCCCTTCTCCATTGTTCTATATATTCAGGAGGAAAAGTACCATTACTCTGATAGATATTTATGGGTAATCCTTTACATAATTTCAGATAAACTATCCTCAGATATTGAAGCCTTTGAAACAAAACACTATGTGTATATATAGGAGAATTTCACTGTTTTCTAGGTTATTTCCTGGACTAACAATGGAAAATTATACCTCATTTTTTCTTAATAATGGCATTAAATTAAACCTAAAGAACAACTATCCTTTGGCTGCAATCAATATATAAAGTACTTTAATAATATGTGTTGTGAAATATATGAATTTGCTTTTTCTTCTTTCCCATATGCCTTTTTTCTTGAAAGCAATTTTTCTCTTTAGGAATTAGCTCCCAGCTCAATTTCACAGGCAGATTCTTTACCATCTGAGCCACCACAGGAGCCGAAGATTACTGAAGTGTGTAGCCTATCTCTTCTCCAGGGGATCTTATACAGTTATAAATATTTGTTATATAATATTTAATTACACATATATAGTATATATCACTTGTACTGTTTTCCATATTTTGGCCATTAATGTTAATAAACAATGCTACAATGAACATAATAGTAAAGATATCTGTTCATATTCCTGTTTCCACTACCTTTGGTTATACACCCAGAAGTGAAATTTCTGGATCGTATAGCAGTTCTATTTTTAATATTTTGAGAAATCTCCATACTGTTTTCCATAGTGCCACATACATTTTTATTCCCACCAACAGTGCGAAAGCTTATCCTTTTCTCCTTTCTTCACCAATACCTCTTCTCTCTTGTCTTTCTAGCCATTCCACTGTTAGCCATTCTAATAGTGGTGAGATGTTATCTTATTGTGGTTTTGATTTAAATTTCCCTATTTATTAGTGATGTTCAGTACCTTTCCATGTTGGTCATCTGCATGTCTTTGGAAAAATGTCTGTTTATTTTTTCTGACCATTTTTAACCAATCCCTAGTTTATGGATATATATTTCTTAATATTTCTGGTTCTCAAATATAGTACTGTCATGAGTGTTCTTTAAGAAAATTTGTTCACAACATGAATTTTTTAATGCCAAATCACTGTTTGCTTTTATTTCCCTATATCTATTAGAATTTCTTTTAAAACATGATAAATAAATATGCAATATAATATGAGGCCTAATAAATAAATGTGAACTATCTTTTTCTCTTACCTACAGTCCATTTGCTTGTGATCACCAATGTCACTAATTTTCTATATTCATATGAATTAAACATAATTGCATATCTTGTTTCTTCTTGTTTTTTATTATTCTTTTTATATTGTTCCCCCTCATTTTCCTTTCTTTTTCCCTTTTTTATATGCTATTATAAGTGCCCACTACTTTGCTACTTGGTTTTTGCTCCTAAACATAACAAAACTTATTAGAACCTTCCTTCTAACTATTTCTCTT